CTGCCCAGCCTCGGCCGCCTTTCTCCACAGGTCCTGCTTCATGAGCTTCTCGAGCTTCTCCACACCCATTCCCCTCCTCCTCGGGCCGCCGTCGCCGCTCCTTCCCTTCCTCCTCCCGGGGCCCCGACGCGGCGGCGCCGCGCCTCGGCGGCCGTGCTCGTGCGGGCCAGGACTCGCGGCCCGGCGGTGGTGGTGGTGATCGGCGGAGGAGGCCGCAGTGATAACTGAGGTAGCCATTTTTTTTTCCTTTTCCTTTGTTTTGATTTAATGGGAGTGGTTTATAGAGAGAGAAAGAGGAGAGAGGAAGCAGACCGGAAATGGGAAGTACAGCTGAGAAATGCGAAGTGTGAGGGGGGGTTTTCATGCAGGTTTTTGGATATATGTAAGTAAGAAAATTAGAAGGGAAATGGAAAGAATATAATATTAGAAAAAAGGAGAGGTTGAAATGTAATTATCATACTTGTGGAGATGAGTTAATGCGTTTTTTGTCTTTAGCTTATTTATTTCTTCATTATAAATTTGAAAATTTTTTGTTTTTGGCCCCGTTTAGAAGATAGCAGATTGAAGATAAATTAGCGAATTGGATTTAATTGAGAGGTTTGACCCGTCAAATCCGCTATTTGTAAAAGAAGGAAAAAAATGTTGTTAAAAAGGACTGAAATTAATTTGATGCTTATTTTTGGGTTGGTTTGGGAATTTTATTTTTTATTTTATTGTTATTAATTTTTTAAGAATGATCGAGTGGAAGGGTCTGAAAAAAAAAAACAAAGAAATGAGTGCTAATTGAAGTGAATAACTAATAATTAACTAATCAATTTAGAATAAGTAATGTTGTACTTGCAAAGTATGCTAATTTATAGATTAAACAGTCATCGTTTTTAAATATAAATATGACATTTCATAACATAGTTACAGATTTCATTAACAAAATATAACATATCAACATTCCAAACACTTAAGTCATCTCACACAACAATTAAGTATAATGTTTTCGATCATGGTAAAAGGTTTTGACCATAATTTATTTGTCCATAACATCGTACCTTAGTTATAATTTCAATGAAATGCACCCAAATTGAAATCAACGTTAATGACAGTGCAAATTAGGAGTAATTAAATATCCTATGAGTTAATCTATGATGCACTAGTTGATTTGCTTATAAGCCAACAATTTTCTCAATTTTATTTCCATATATAGTAATTTCATCTTTGTTAGTCTTACTCTATTTGGACTTAGCTTGTGGCCGGTGAACTGAAATCCTAAAGTAGCACAAGTGATAATAATAATAATAATAAATAAATATAAATATAAATAAATAAATATAAAGTGTAACTATATAGCATGGGGTTAGGTCTACACATGATTATACGCAATGTAGTTTTAATAGTTTTTACTATTACATTTTTTCTTTATTTTATTTTATTTTTACTGCTAAAAGGATAAAGTTACTAGTTTTGGGGGTTACTTAGTGTTCATGTTTTTGGTGCTAGGGTTGTTCATTTAAGGCAGCATATAAAGGTGCAATCATAGACACTGGGATTTGATATGATAATATATATTTTTGCTATACTAATCAATTGCCCTATACACTCTACCTACAAGTACTTTATTATAACCAAATATTTTCTCTATCTTTTTTTTTTTTTTCTCTTTTCGAAATTCAAAATGTATTATAGTTGTCCTAGTTAAAAGTAGCATTTTATCTTTTGCTTTCTTCCCATTGGTCAGAATAAGGAGTCTTCAATTTGTCACGTTCAGACTATAATTTTTTATAACTCATCACAGTCAATAATATTGATAAATGAGTCGAACTCGATTTCACTATCGATCGTCACGTTTTGATCAAAAGGTCGGCTCGTTAATGACTCCGAAACCGAGAGTTGAGATACTGATTAATATTAGGGCCTTTAAGGGACTGTTTGGCTCTTGTACAGATCCCTAAAAAAATAAACTATACATAGCCAATCTGTCTCCTCAGGGGAACCAAAATCCTCCGTGTCTGCCTTAAAACCAGCACAAAATCGAAAAGACCCACCCCACGCCCGCCACGTGTCCACTCGCACGTGCCGGATTGCCCACCCACAACCCTCCACGTGGATCCCTCCCACCAGCCGCCTTCCGTCCGTACGAGTTACGACCAGCAAAAGCCCCACCACTTCTTTTTTCTTTTATTTTTTCTTTTTTTTTTCGCCTGAGAAAAAGATTCTCTACAGCGCCACCCCACCCTACGCGATCCATAATAAATTAACTCTCCGCCGGGGACCACGTTCCGGCGTGGGGGGACCCACATATTCTCTCTCACCGTTTAATGAGGCATCGATCCTCTGTGGTTGCTTTTTGGTGGGAACGTTGTTTATGGTTGGACGCGGAACGGAGGCGTCCACGTGGCGGCACCGCATTGGTTTCTGCGTAAGGGTAGGCACGGACTGTGGTATCCTGTGGTTCGCACCCGCAGTACTCTTTCTGGTTGGTCACGCGGTTCTGATTTTTAACTCTTCAAGTTCTATAGTGCAATTGAGATCGAGTACGCTGTCAATTAAAAAAAATAAAAATAAATTAATTAATAAAAAATACATATTCATGATCTAAAATATTGTACTGTAATTTTTATTATTTTTAAGATAATGACTTTCAGTTATAAACTATCCATATCTATTAAAAAAAAGGAAGATTCTAATACGGTCCGGAACTATTCTGTCGGAGTTTGTAACCGTTAGATCAACTATCTCTTACGGTAACAAACCCCGACAGAATGATTCCGTAACGAGACTTTAACATTTTTCAATTTTTTAGCTCAAAAACAAATTGAGAAGGAAAAAAAAAAATAATGATCATATTTGTGGTGAACCCTCAAAAACTACTGGAAAGCTGACCAGAAATAGACTTTTGAAATGTGAAGTTGCTTTAAGCTCTTCCTCCAAAAAAGGTAGGATTTTGGAGAAGAAAATTGCACGCTAGAAAATTTAGAAAATGTTAAGTTGTTTTAACATTAAAAAAATATAGTTAAAAAATTGAACACAAGTAGATGCACAGATATATCACCATCCTTTAGCTACCTACTATATAAACATAATATAACTGATAAGGACAATATATCCTTTGTGGCTATTTGTTACTTGTTGCATTACTTCAATAGTATCCATGAAAATAACTGATGAGAATAATCATGAGGAATGGTATAATTATTCTTAGTTATGACTCTTGTCCTAAAGATTTTTAAGAATCTTCTATCATCAATTAGTCTGAATAGTTAAAAGTATTGGTGAATGGTAATTGGTAAGTACATATTAGGGTGTAGAGGTGGCATATTTAACGAAATGAGTTGTTCGCAAACATAGCTCAGTTCAGCTCGTGAAAGCTTAGGCTCGTCTTGTTCATGTACTTAAACAAGTTGCGCTTATTTGCAAACAACTATTTTTTTTATATAGTTTTTATAGGTTAAAATAAAATAGTCGAGTCGGACTTGTTTGATAACAACTCATTTTAAGGTCTTGGAACTAATAAGTTCATTATTTTTTTTACAAAAAAAAAAAAATGCATAAACATAAGTCACACTTTTATTTACATTATATTTTGAAGTATGTCATTGCCCTAGAACCATATATTTCAATATTGACTCTGGTTCCGATAAATGGAGACCATAATTTTTATTTTTTTAATTTAACTTTTTTTCAATTATTGTATAAATTTTTACCTCATTTAATATTTTCTAGTTCCAAGATTTTTTCAAGATCACCTCCAGTTAGACATGTCCACGGGCCGAACCGGCCCGCGAACTGGCACCGGCCCAGCCCGAACCGGGAACACTAAAGGCCGGTTCGGTCTCGTTTCTATTTTTTTGTATTTTGGTCCCGCCGGTATGGGCCGGGCCGGATCGAACGACGGGCCACATTATTAAAATATTTTTGGTTTTTTAAGACCATCCCGGCCCGTGAACCGGCGGTTCGGGCCGGTTCATAGAACCGGCCGTTGGTTTTTAGCGGGCCGGTCGTGTGAGTGTTGGAGGGCCCATGGCCCGACGGGCTGGGCCGGGCCTTGGCCCGTTGACTGGCCACCACTACCTCCAATAAATTTGAGATTGGAGGGCAACACTCAAAATCTTGTCCAAAATTGTGGACACATTTTCAAACATAAGATGTAAAAACTTAAAATCTAACAATAATTTTTTAAAATAGATCACCTCAATTCATTCTGAAAAAAAAAATCTTGTCCTTTTGTATTCATATTACATCCAGCCTTAGTTGGTTTCAAACATGGGGTAAAATTTATTGCTTTTTATTTTATTTTTTTCAAATTTTGTAATGGGTTTTTGCCTCAAGATGCCATGATTTTAGAGTAACTGTTAGTAGTGTCTTTATGCAACTTCTGTGAAAACCAAACTACTCCTGGCAATAAAATAGCCAAATGTCAGTTCTCTCCCTCATCACATTTTTTGTTGCTATTATCATCTTTTATTCCACAGTAGAGAGAGACAGAGAGAGAGACAGAGAGAGAGAGAGAGAGTATTAATGCAGATATGAATCTGAACTGAGATTTCACCTTCTCTCTCACACACACACACCACACACTAACACACACAGTCATTACAGTTTTATGGCATACAGATTTGTACAGTACTGCAAAAGCTCATATCTGAGTTGTAGACTACATTGCCTTCAATGAAAAAGATTTTCTTTTTTTTAATCTTCTTATTTTTTTTTGAAGTGTGTGTGTGTGTGTGTGAGAACAAAGTTTTGTTGGCATAAATCTGAGCCGTCCGTATGGGTTTTGCAATGCATATCAACCACACATCAGATGTGTGCTTTTGTACTTGGAAAAATAAAGGTACCCTTTTATTTTTCAACTGAGCTCTTTTTCATGCAAAAGAAACAAAGTCCCTGTCACCTGTTTGTTGTGTGTTGTAATGTTGCCTTGAGAAAAGTAAATAACAAAAATAAATAACAAAAACTCTAATAATTAATAACCCAATTTCTACCCCTTTGAAAAATAGAAAAAAAGAGGAAAATGCAGTTTATGTACAGAAATTGTCAGCTATATTGTTGTGGTCTAAATGGTGCTATTTTGTTTGTGCCGCAATTTGTACTGTTGAGATCTCACGTTTTACTGTTAGGTTTACCCTACCTACCTACTAAATCGGTAAATACTTGTACGAGTGAATTAAATAATAAAGGACATTTAATTGAGTAATTAAACTAGTGACGATGGGATTAATTTCGAAACACGAAATCCAAATTTGTAAAAAAAAAACCTAACCATTAAGCGAGTCGATAAACGAGTCAATTTGTCACATTACGTGTGCCATTAGGCTGGTCGATTTGTCACTCCGTGCATCATCGCTTATGCAGATATATACTTATAAGACTGTTTGTACACTTTTTAAGAGTCTTCTATTATTAGTTTGATAATTAGACGTTAGAATCAGCTTTAGTGGTACTTGTTTCAATTTATCCATTTTCATGTACCTTAGAGGAATTTCTTGAAACTTGAGTGACTTACTTCAATCACTCCTTGTATGACTATCCAAGGCATTATTACACAATCACCAAGAAATGCAAAATGAAATTGTTAATAATATACCTAACTAACGTTTTCATAGGTAACTACATTTTAGTAACAAATTATCTCAAGTAAGATTAAATTGTTAGTGTCAGAACTTCTAAGCATGTGCCTCATTATGCGTTTGCATTAGAGTATCTCGTGATAATTAATCATCGATTGTCTTTTCGTACACACAAGTAAATACTCACGCAAGAATGGGGACTTATTTGTAAATGTCTCAACCTGTTTTAGAATACGCGGCTCTCTCGGGCAAGATGAATGATGCACACAACATCCATTTCCCTGGTGCAACAACTCGAACTCTGTGGATCTCGACTTCAATAGCCGCCTCTGACAATGCCGATCTTATACGCTGATGTGCATAAGGAAGTAGAAAGTATGATCAAGGAAAAATAAAAAGGAAAAAGAAACAAAAAATGAAAAAAATAAAATAAAAGTAAAAGTGAACTTTACCGCTTCAAACTCAAATTCTGGATCTTCAGCTTTTGAGAACCCATAAACGTGAAGCCTTGGCAGATTACATCGTTTACCTGGATCATGTCTTTGAAAAACTCCCCTGAAAACATCTGCAATAAAGAAAAGCCTTCAGTGGAAATTTGTAAGTATCGTGTATGTATATTGTATAATAATATATTCACACGGTAAACATCTTTTAGGTGAAACATAAAATGCTGTGCTGAAAAGAAAAATTTGCAACAGTGAACAAACATGAAACTAAAGTAACTATCTTGTTCAGATATATGTACCGAGAAACTCAGCTGCATCCTTTGGCAAATTCATGACCACTTGAGTGATGGATTCAGCTCTGTGGCTAGAGAAAACGGTCTCGATAAATCTTCTACCGTCCATGTTAAATACCTACAAACAACATTAATAAAAAATGTGAATATCTTCAAACAAGAACAATATGGTACATCGGTAACTATCTTTACCTCAATTTTCCTCTCAACTTTATTGAAGAAACAGTTTCTCTCGAGATACTCAACGGCACTAGGGTTTAAATCGTTAGCATATACACGCTTGACTTTCTTTGCTGCAGATATAGAAATGGGACCAACTCCAGCAAAAACATCACCTGTATATAGAAAGGGGCAAAAGCAGAGGGAACCAAGATTAACATCTTTAACGAGGGTTGCATGAGGTAATAAATTATTTTATCTTTCTTTTTTATGGGAAATATGGCGAATTAAGCAGGAATGGGATGACATCCAGAAGCACATCACAATTCACAGGAGAATTGAATTTGAAAACTATGCGTCAGCATTATCAAATATTCGAATATCAACCTTTAATTAATAATAGATTATTTTTAAAAAAAAAAAAAAAGAAACAATGATTTGTGAATCTCCCTGTTAATTCCACATTCTGTGAAAATATCCGAGACTTGATAAAAAAAATTAAAACATATAAAACTAATGAGTATTTATTCCAATTTTAATATGCAAATATCATGGATACATATATTTCTTACTCGTTCCCTAGTTGAGAGTAAAGGGGGCAACTTATTCAGGAGAACCAAAAAAAAATAAAAAATAAAAAAATCTGGGACTAATGCTCTTTTGGTAATCTTCATCAAGGTTTGTTGAAAAAAAAAAAATGTGATTACTAAAAACTTTGACCATATTTAGTTCAGAGGAACTACGAGGAGAAGAACTACTCAAGCTAAATATGGCAAAGCTAGTGCTTTTGACTTATTGACACATGACCCTACAATACATTATGACACCAAGTAATAACATGATCAAAACACTATGGTTTTATTAAACACCTGCCCATATCATGAGAAGTATTCATATTCCGGATTTCAATAATCATGTAAAGTGTCCATATTTTTTACTAGTATTTACAGACATACATACAACATCAGTGGGTGCAAAGCAACTTAAAAGCCTCTGTCTCTCAGTTCCAAGCCTTGAATTCCAATATCTACAAAAAGTTATGGCAAAGTTAGATTAAACAATTAAATTTCTAAACTAATATTCATACTTCAGAGTTCAGACCCTGCTAGACTTACACTGCTGCTAAATCAACATGGAAACGTAGTCCATTTTCCACCACTGTTGTCACAAGGGAATTATTCCCTGCCAAAACCTCCAGCTGCATTGTTCTATAGTCATTGTGAATTGCATCAACTTTGTTTACAACAGTTTGTATCTTTGGCTTATTCTTATCCAAAACCACCTAAACCGAAACAAGGAAAAAACAGCACAAATTAAAATGTAAATAAACGTGAGAGCAGTATTTTAAACAACGTAAAATGGTAGGAACCTTTGCAATAAGACTTTTATATTGAAGGTGCTCTTCTCTGAGATTCAGGTGGGCAATATGTCCAACTGTTTCAAAAGTTGAGGGAATAATCATGCCATTTGGAAGCAAAGCCTCCAAGACCTGCAAATAATGAAATGTGTCCGTATGTACTAAAATTAGTTACATGCAAAACTCAACTAGTATTTATTTATGCACATGCAAATCATAACTAGCATTTACAGGTAGTCATAGGGTTTTCTTTTGCTGTACATCTAATAGGTTTCAATGAATCAAACAGAAGAATAACAAGAAATAAATGATGCAGAATAAAGCATCAAATAATGTATTTTACTACCACAAATCTAATAAGAGACATCATACCACAAGAAAGAAAACAAACTTAGAAAGCAACTATCCCAAAAGCTAAAAAAAGAAAAAGTAAAGCACTAATCAGCTTAAAAGATCATGACACCAAAAAGAATTAAACAACTACGAACAGAGAAGGAGAAATAGAACTGAACTGCTCGTGTAAGATACCTCGTTCATTGGCCAATATTCATAAAGCAGGGTCAATGTGCATTTCACAAGTTCAAAAGCTGGCGACCGGCATTCACCATCACGTTCTTGAAAAAATACCTGAACAATCAAATTGGAAATAAGACATGATACCCCAATGTGTCACATAGTAATTGCCAGAGACAGCAAACTTGTTATCCAGAGAGATTGGACGGACGTCAACAGGTAACACAAAAGCAGATTTCATCACACGTCTTTTCATTTCCTCTACAGATCATCTGGATCTTCTTTCGCTACTCTTCAATTTAAATTGACCAATCTATCTCTGTTTTCTAAAATGACCAGTGAAATACAATTGACAAACAGATTCAACAGCGGCGAAAACCATGTCGTTTATCTCAAATAGAAAGTAATTCAGCCACGAAAGCAAGAATATACAAACAAATAAACAAGCATGTATCAGATTTTGCCACCCCGCAAACCACAATGATTCTAACTAGTTGTTTGTTTAGAATCTTCCCATCTTCTCCAAAACAGAACAGAATCACAACCTAACTAATATGGTACGGTTTTCCAATATCAAGCAACTAAACTAAAATCATGCATGCCAACCACAAAGTGAAACAAAAGCCCCCACACAACTGCAAACAAGTCGAACATTCACATAAATGACGTAAAGCACAAACCTTGATCGCCTCAGGCAATTCATCGATCGTCTTATTCGCATACTTCTCATCCAATAGCAACAGCCTCGTCGACCCTCTCCACCTCGAAATCCTCTTCCCAAAATCCTCCCCCAACAACCCGCTGAAATCTTCATCATCACAGTCTTCATAGCAATCCTCAACCACCTCAACAATGGCCATCTCAGTCCTCCCAATACCTTTCACCTCTCTTTTGTCCCCTCCATCACCCCTTTTCTTCTTCTTCTTTTTCTTCGGCCTGGAAATTTTAGCCAGATTCCTAAAGTTAACATAGCCTAGCGAGTCAAACGTCTTGACGAGCTTATCACGATACAGAACCTCGTTGAGAGGCTCGCCGTCCCCCTCCGCTTTCCCATAAATCCTCCGATTTAACGCCACTAGCTTCTCATCTTCGCCTTCAACTCCAGCTCGATTGACCGAATTGAACACAACGCCTTCCAATTGGTCGTCGACCTCGTCGCCGGGGACCCTTGCGATGTTCTTCACGCGCGGCCAGTTCAGGAGGTGGCCACGAAATCGGTTCTCCAGCGTGGAGCAGACTTCCGACGGGACTCTGAGGGCGGAGATTTCAAAAACTCGGGTGAATGCGGCTTCGTCGAGGGACGCGATGTTCTCATCCAACTGTAATTTAGGCAGCTCGAGGGGAGTAGGGGCGTGGCCCTTTCGGAGGGAGGGGCCGTACGGGGTGCTTGAGAAGGACAAAGCGGCGGTGGGGATTAGGAGAAATCTGGCGGCGGCGGCAGCGGCAGCGCGCGGGGGCGAGTAGAAGGTGAAGATGGGAAATGTGTGAGTTCGAAAGATGGAAAAATTTGTGGCCATTTACCCTTTGGATTTTGATATTTTTCTGCTTTCTACTTTGTTGTATCATATTCATGTCTCGCGATTTATAATTTTTTGTATAAATAACTAAATATCAAATCATCATAAAAAAAAAATAAAATCAAAACTCCAATTAAATTTATTTTTATAAATAATTTTGATTTCTTGTAGTAACATATCCTGGTATTGCAAGTTTGTCATTCAAATTAAAAATTTTGATCCCCTACCCGTCCACCACTTTTTTTATATGAAAACTGAAAAACGTATTCTCACAATACATTTTTCATGTAAAATAAAGTGGTGGGCACTGCCCACCGTTAACATGTGAACGAGACTTTTCAAATTAATTCATGACAAGGGCTCAACTTTTATTGAATCGAGACAAGTGAAACAAACATGTGCTCGAATCAAATCGTATGATGCGTTTAACATGCAGGGGACCGCGCCTGGTATACAAAATCTTGACATCTTACCCAAGTCAATGTTATTACTTACTCCTATTATACAACAATCAACTATGGGGGCTTAAAACATACTTAATAGTCAAATCCTAAGTGAAAAAAAAAAAAAAAAAAAAAAAAAAAAAAAAAAAAAAAAAAAAAAAAAAAAAAAAAAAAAAAGCTCCACGAGGAAAGGTAAAATAGAACAAAAACAACAATCTTAACAATCTCATTCAAATTACAATGAACGAATCACCTTCAAAAATAAAGCTAACAAAAAGTGATGAATCTAGAGAACAAAGAAAAAAAGTATACATATCTCTCAAACAAACAACTAAACAAAAAAACATTGACTATAACTTAATACAAAAATCAAAACAAACTCTCTTTTAACATTCCTCAAAATCTCCTATGGTACCACTCTAGACTTCACATTCCTCTCCAAGAACCCTTCCATGATCACCCTTTTCTTGTACTCCTTCGAATCCACTGCGTCGTCGTTAGCCCGCGGGCCCTCGCATTTGGGACCGGCCCGTCGGGGCGCCAAGAACAACCATGCCGAGGTACAAGTCACTATAGCAAAAGCCTTGCCGCAAAAAATCAAAGCCACCAAACAAACCAAAATAATGAACATCAATCCTCTACAATCACATGACTTGCTAATGTTGACCAATTTCATGGCATGTTGTCTGATGTTGATACTCGTACTCGTCTGGCTCGAGTCGAGGCAATTGGACATGACCTTACCTCGTTCGGATCCCGAGCTCGAGTTTGACGATATCGAGGACACACGCAAGGATGATGTGGACGAGAATAAGGACAAACGGCCGGATTTTTCCCCACCGGAAGAAGTTTCTTCATCCAGGTCAGAAAAAATCTTCCACGGTGGCATTTTTTTCTTTGCCATCGGTTTTTTGGTCGATATGCCATTGTTTGATCGGTAGCAATCGCGCTTCGACCTCTTGATT